ATATAATAATAGGGCAAGTATATGTTTGTTTTTTATAAACAAACAAAAATACTTGACAAAAGCTCCTGGCAGTGCTATTTCTATTCAAAAGTTTCTAGATATATAATACAGACCGCAACCCCAAGACAATATTTTTCAAAAGCTACGAGCTGAATATTTTAATTCTACTGTATTACTAGACAGAGTTGTGTATCCTTTTGTTATATTTTCCAAATTTTTCCACAAGTCAGTGTTACTCTACATAGGTTCAAGGGATCATTGGAAAGAGTGTCAAGTTTCTGTATAACAAATATAAATATTATAATTTCATTATTTTTTTAAAGTGTTGCTATTTCTACCTCCTGTTTTTGCTAATACCACTTCTTAAATACAAAAAAATACTTTAAAAGAGATATAATTAGAGATAGTACCCGTATAAGAATTACTTAAGTAACCAGTATAAGATCTATTAACTGAGTTAACCTACTGCTACCTGAGTGACCCAGATTAATTAATAAATATAAACATTCATTAGATTGGCTAGTTGATTCATTTGTATGAAGAAACAGTTAAACAATTTTAACAAACTTAGCTTCGAAAAGCACTGTACAAATTAATTATTTTATAAATATAATAATTATTAGGTTGTTTCTTCATGCATTGCTGAGATAATTTAATATAGTATTCAGGAGTTCTGGAAACAAATTCTGGCTGTAATCTACGATTAATCTTAATATTCGAATCATGTCTATCAAAGGCCTTTGGCTAACATTTTAGCTATCATAACACTAAAGCTTTAAATATCAACTATTTGTGTAAATTCATATAACTTCTCAAGAAACATAAGACATAACACCATAAATATCGCCTTCTGAAACACTTTCATTTCTTTCTAGGCAATCCTAGATATAGCTTTACATAATCATGAATATCAGATAATTCATATTAAGCATTTTCAGTTTAACCTTTCAAGCAAGTTTCAAAATATTTCTAAAGGCTTCCATTCCATTGCGAGTTTGCTATGCACATCATGTGATTGATAAATTCCTTCAAAAAATTAAAATTATTTTCCTTAAAACTAATCAGGGTCTTGAGTGTGGATTTTTCACGCACTCTTGCATAATTATTTTTGCCATCATTATACAGAACCAAATCCTTCTTTGCAGATTTCTGTAATATTAGATAATCTATCCAATGGAATCCACTTAATCGCATGTTCATATTTAAAAGTTCTAAGTTAATCCAGCCAATACAAAAATTAGGAATGCGAAAATCTTTATTAGGCAAAAAATGCATTTGCCATTCGTAATCTTAGTAGTTGCTATCTATGAATAACCGGGTCAACTGGATCACCCGGGTTATTTGACGTGACCCGGTAATGATATTTTAAACGGGTGAGTAACCCGGAGCTTAAATTTTGAACCGGATACAATCTCTAGGTATAATTACTAAGTAAACCTCTTTTTAGTACTAATTAAAGTTTTTTATTAGGTTTTTCTGGTTCTAATAGTAGTAAAATCATTAAAATCGGACTAGTAGTTATTACAATATTTATATTTAAATTTTACAATCTTTAATTCCCTTTTAATTTAATGATTTTACCACTATTAGAACCAGAAAGACTTAATAAACAACTTTAATTAATACCAAAAAAGAGATTTACTTAGTAATTATATCTCTTCCGGAGAAATTTTGTATTTGGGGGGTGGCATTAGCAAAAATGGAAGTGAAAATAACGATTCTCTATTTTTAACGCTTTTTTGGGGGGCCAAAATTGAATGAAGAACTTTTTTTTTAACATCTGTGAGCGATTGTCGCTATGTGTAGGAATCTTGTCAGTGAGGATAAGTATATATGCATTTTCAAACCGTTTTTAGTTTATATATATATATATCATGAACAAAAATAATTAAAAATAAAACACGATGTGTCAATGACAAAAAAAAAAAAAACAAATAAATAAGTAAATGAATAATAAATAAGTAAACCATCCTTACTATTTTACCAAATATATACAAGTCCTTTACCATAATATTCATAATACTCTATAGCATTTTATTAATTTTAATTCCCATTTGCGTTATTTGAATTAATCTGTCTTAACTTTGCAGTAACAGCATCAATTTTTTTACGATATTTCTCACTAGATTCTCTCATCTTCCTCTTAACCCGTTCAATCTCTTCAGGTTTAGAATTTATTCTCATTCTTAATCTAGCTTCCTCGATTCTCCAATTATCTTGTTCTTTCTTTGATTCTTCGGTTAATTTTAAAAGTTCTTTACGAAGTTCAGTTGAGGTTTTTGGTTTTAGAAAGAATGAAGTTGATGTACGACGACGATGGAATCGGACTTTGATTTTTTTTAAAAAAAAAACAAATCGAAAAGCAAAAAAAAAAAAAATGTTGATTAAAATATCGTTTTTTAAGAATGCACGGAATTTGAAAAAAAAAGCTTACGAGATGATTCTGGCGGTGAATAAGGTGGAGGTGGAACTTCTGGCATAGATTGTTCATACATATCTATAAAGCAAATTGAAGTAAATAAAAGGTAAATATGTTAAACGAAATAAATATATTAACATAATATATTAACATGATATTTTCTGTATATATGCATGCAAACATGTATATGTATATATATATATATATCTATATATTTTTTTTTTTCTTTTTTTTTTTTTTTTAAAAAAAAAAAAAAAAAGTATATATAGTATGAATCAATATAAAAAAAAAAAATCAATAAATGAATTTAATGGATGAATTAATTAATAATTAATAAAATGGATATTCGCCCTAAAGGAAATAATCTTTATAAATTTTATCAATCACAAATCGCTCAAAACTGCTTACATTATCATCCGAAATCCTTCATATATCATTTTTTAGAGGATTTTTTGAATAGCTTAAATTTAAGTATGTTACGTTTACCTGTTTCAACAAGACCATCGCTACCATTATTTAATGAATTCATAACTTCTCCTATATTCACCGAACTTCTTGAATTGAGATTGCTATGACTACTTCTATTTCTAAGTCTATTGGCGAAACTATTTGAATTTGACGAACCATTATTATTATTGTTATTATTGTTAATAGTATTATTATTTGCATTGTTATTTGTAGATAGAGCTGAATCAGGGCCATAACTAAGAGCTCTACCGTGCCTTGCTGATAAAGTAGCAGCATTTATATTTTGTTGTCTTTGATGTGGTTGAGAAGGTGATTGAGATAATGGTTGAGAAGGTGATTGAGAAGGTGATTGAGATGATGGTTGAGGTGATTGAGAAGATTGAGATTGGGAAATAGGTTGAATTGTTGAAACTAATTGATTATCATCTCTATCACTGTTTCCATTCATATAATTCACCTTACTAACAACATTTGTTTGAATTATTTCAGATCTTTCATCGGTTTGATTCGTTATTCTATTGTTCAAAATGCTAGTATAATTCACCCCATTAACATCACTACTAGTATTTACATGTATTACATCATTTTCATCGTTATGTTTTCCGTTACTAAGGTAATTTTCATCATTTTTTACATTATTAATCGAATCACTATTATTTGATCCGTTATGATTCATAACGTTAATAGTTGAATTATTACTATAAGTACTATTATTATGATCAAATAAAGAGGTAGATTCGGCATTAACATAAGCCAGTGAAATAGAACGATTTGTGGAAAGATTCTTTTTAGATGACGATGACGATGAATCACGTATTGTTGTCTTTAATATAGGAATTGAACTTGATAATGCAGATGGAGGTGGTGGTGATGATGGAGATTTTATATAATTGCTTGATGTAGTAGTATATAGAGATTCAGAAAGTGGAGGTAATACTCGTGTCGTCTTTACAGACAATTCATCATTAATGTCGGTATTGGTTTCTTGAAGAATTGAGGGAACCAAACTTGATTGTGTTCTTTTAGGGATGCTTATCTGATTAACAGGTGAAACTAAATTAGTTCTTGTTACGTTTGTTGGAGTTGAAGAGTCATTCTCGATGTTATTATTAACATTGTTATTAGTAAGACGTGAAATTAATTGTGGAGATTGTTGAATTGAACCATTTGAAGAAAGAATTGATTGTGTAGCTGGTATTTTCGCTTTATTCGAAAGTGGCTTTGCAGTAGAAGAACTATAGGATTGTTGATTGAAAACAGGATCAAATGTTACATGTTGCTGTTGGAAAACTGGTGAAGGTTGTGGTGTTAATTGTTGCTGCGATTTATCAGGAGGAGGCGAAGTAGCTTGCTGTTGAGGTTGGGAATATTGAGGTTTAGGAGGAGCAAACGATACACTTTGGGTAGTCGATGTACTTGAAGTAGTTGATGTAAAAGCATCAAATATCTTCAATCTCAACATGCAATACTCTTCCTCCGAGATAAGTGACCTTTCACGAGCATAATTTAATTCCATTAAACGTTCAGTAAATGAAACATTCATTTTTTTTATCTGTAGTAATGAGAACTATATGAGTTGTAAGGAATTGCAGCAGGAGTTGATACAGTATATATTGAGCGTCGTTAAAAAAGGCTTGCCAGCAAACCCTTAAATTTTTGAGTCTTATTAAAATAGACTAATTCTTGTAATGGTCAGTTACAAGAAAATTTTAAAATATCTCCAAGAGGAGGTACGTACGAATAAAATAAAAATAAATAAAAAAATGTTTTTGTAAACAGTTTGTCCAATTATTGAAAATCTTTCTGTATAAAACGAGTAAGAATGGAATTGTTTCAAGTGTTATGTTGTGCCAAAATATTCATTAATGTCGTGTTTGTAAAAGAAAATTTTATAAGAATAAGATTTGAATTTTTATTTGTTCGTTACAACATTTAAGTTTTTGCGAGAGCCACTAATGATTTATTTATACTTTTTTGATGCGGTGAATTTTAATCGGCCAACACTTTTTTTTTTTTTTTTTTTTTCTTCTAAAGTGCAAGTCATAAAAGGTATAAAATAAATAGCATATATATAGTATTTATTTTTGTATCACAGTACTTACTTAACTGAAAAGCACCGTACTTGTTGTGGCATAATTAGGCATTTAATGAATTTAATGTCGATGAGAAATAAACAAAATTTACATATTAAATAATAGCAATACATGCATTATGTTTTACGTATTAAACAATTGTTATTAAATGGTTATTAAATCATATTTTTTAAATGTATGCAAAATTTGCTAATCTTAAAAACGACGATTAGTTAGTTATTCACTGTTGCGTTACAACCCAACTTTTTTCATGGCTTTTGTT